AAAATATATAACAGGTAAATAATTAATAAAATAATAAAAATTAAATTACTCTAAAATTTTTTTTAATATAAATTAATTACCCAAATAACGCGTTTTAAAATAATACTTTAATAAGTTAATAAACTTAAACAAATATATCGAAAAAAATTTTTAAAACTTTTTAAAAAATATAATAATATTTAAAATTACTTTTATAAAATAATATTTAAAAAAATAAAAAAGATATATTTTAAAAGCTACCGTTAAATAAATATATAAAAAGAAATTTTTTATAATAACATTAAATATTTTAAATAATAAATCTTTAATTACATATAAATATATATATATAAATTTAATAAACATAAATATTTATAAAAATATAAAATAAAATTAATAATTTAAAATAATTAATAAATTTTAAACAATAAAAAAATATATATTTTAACGTTAACAAAATTTTTTTTTAAAACTTTTATAATAATAATAATAAAATTTAACTTTAAATTAATAATATAACGTAATTAACGTTTTTATTAACGTTAAATTAAAAAAAAACATATTTATAAAAATATTTTTAAATTACCAACGTTTAAACTATATATTAAAACTATTAAAAATATTATACGGTTTTAAAAAATTTCTTTTATTTTGGTAATAAAAACTTACGGTAAAGTTAAAAGTTTTTAATTTCGAACTAATATTTAAAAAACCATATATATTTATTAATAATAAAATATTATTATTTATTTACGTTAATAATATAATAATTACATATTTAAAATTATATAAATTATATATAATTTACTTTATATAATAATTAAAATAATATTATTAATTTATAAAAAATAATAAATTATAATAATTTTTAAAAATTAAAATAATAAAAAATTATAAAAAACGATTAATTTAATTAAATTAATCCGTTTATATTAATAAAATAATTAATTTTATAAAATTTTTAACTTAAATATTTATAACATTAATAATAAAAAAAAATTATTATTATATAACGGGATAACTTTAAAAAAAGCTGTATATTATTATTAATAAAAGATAAAGTTTATTTTATATATTATAATAATTATATATTTTAATATTACTTTTATAACTTTAAAACTATTAAAATTTAATAATAATTTTAATTTAAAATATTACGAAATTATTAATTATATATTAAATTATTTTAAATATACGCAATTATATACGTTATAATTAAAAAGTAACAATTTTTTTAAAATTATTAACGATATTTTATTTACCGATAATACCTTTAATTAAAAAAACTTTTAAATATACGTAATAAAATTATTTAATAATATAATAAATTAAAAGGTAAATAAATAAAATATAATAATAACGTTTATAATAAAAATTAAATTATTAATTTTATTATAAATAATTAAAAAAGTTATATTTATTATATAATTAATTTAAAATTTTAAAATTAATTTAAATTAATTTATAATAATTATTAATTATAATAATAAATAAATAAATAAATTAATTAATAAAAATATTAAAAAATTAAAAATAAAATTAAAATATATTAATATATATAATTATTAATTGCGGTAAAAAGTTAAAAAAAGTTATATATAAATTAATTACATAAAATTAAAAAATATAATTATAAATAAATTTACAAAGGTTTTAATTAAAGAATTACATAAAAAATTTAAATATTAATTAAAATTAATAAATATTATAAAACGTTTAAAAACTAAAAAATTACGAAAATTAAATAAAAAAATAACGTTAAAATAAAAAATATAAACAATTAACAATTAAAAGTTTAAAAATACGTTAAATAAAATAAAATCAAATCGTTAATAATTTAAAAATAAAGTTATTTTTAAAAATATAAAGTTAAATTAACTTTACGGTTATATTTAAAAAAGTATGTTAAATTAATTAACTTTATTAAATAATTTAAAAACTTTACATTTTATATAATTACACGCGTTTTACACGTTTTTACAATTTTTATAATATACAATTAAATCATTAATAATTACATTAATATTTACTTTAATTATCATTTAATTATATATATTGGTTGTTTAACAAATATACTTTAATATAATAAACCATTAATATAATTATGTTAAAATTAAAAAAATTAATTATATTATATTTAAAAAAGTAATATAATAAATAACGTTAAATGTATAATACGTTATATATAAAATAAAATAAAGTTTATTATTATAAATATTAATATATATTTAAATTACTTTTTTTATTAATTTTTAATATTAATTAATTAAATTAAAAATTTTTATTATTAATTTAATTTTTAATTATTTTATATATATAATACATTTAAATAACTTTATAAAAATAACATTTTAAACGTTATAATTAATATTATTTTATAACTTTAATTAATGTAAAAATAATAATATAAATTACATTTAAATCGGTTTTTTAATTATTATATTATAATAAAATTAAATAACGTTTATTTAAAAAAGTAAATATATAATATTTTTTAAAAGTATTTTAATAAAGTTATTTTAAATAAATTTTAAATATTTTAATAATAATATAATATTTAATATATATTATATAAATATATATTTTAATTTATTATTTTTATATTAATTAAAATTATAAAATAATATTAATTATAACATTTAAATTATTATTTTTATAAAATTATTTAAATGTATTATATATGTATGTATATAAAACAATTAAAAAGTAATTTAAAATTAAAGTAAAAATTAAATTTAATTAATTAATTTTTTAAACTTTTTATAAAAAAATAACTTATATTTATTTTAAATAACTTTAAACTAAAAATTCGAATTGGTTTATTATTTTAAATAACTTTAAACCAAAATTTCGATTTTTTAATTTAAAAGGATATACTTTTTATAACCACACCACTTTTTAATTAATCATAACCCGTATAACTTTTTTAAAAAAAAATCGAAATTTTGGTTTAAAATCATTTTAAACATGTTTTTTTTAAAAAATCGTTTTACGAAAAAATAACATTAATATTATTTAATTAATAAAATTATTAAAAATAATAATGTTAACGCGTTATTATAATAAATAATTATTAATTATATAATTATATTAATTTTATTATTAAATTTATTGATTAAATTTATATATTTTAAATCTTTTAAAGTGTTAAAAGTAATTATAACGGTTATAACCGGTTATAACATTAATTGTAATAATAATTATAATACCGGTCGTAACGATAACCGTAATATATAACGCGTAACGCGTAATAAAGTTATATAAATATAAAAAAAAGTAAAAAAGTTTAAATAAATAATAATATTATTATTTCCAAGTATAAAATAAATTATTTTATATATAATTATAACCGTGTTTATAAATATTATAAATGATTATATTTTAATATGTTTTTAAACGTTAAAACTTGTAATATTATAACGTAATGTTATATAAATATAAAAAAAAACGAAAAACTTTAAATTATTATATTAAAATTAAAATATAACGCGTTTTATTTTATTTATATATATTATTAATTATAATAATGGTAATAATATTATTACCGTAAATTAATTTTAACGTTTAAAATTAAAATATAATAACGTAACGTTATATAAATATATAAAATATTTAAATAAATAAATATAATATATTATTAACTTTAAATTATTTAAATTAAAGTTATTTTATACATTATTATATTATATTAAATTATTATAAATATAATGTTTAATTATTTTTTATTAAAATCTTTTTATAATAAACGCTTAAGTTTAAACTAGTTTTAAACCACATTTTGTAAAATAATATACCCGTGATTTATAAATATAAACACACGGGCCATGCGTTTTTAAAACGTTTATAACGTTAAAAGTTATATAAACATAACCCGCGTTTTTATAAAATATAATTTAAATTTATTAAAATAATTAATTTAAAAAGTTATACTTTTTTAATTATACCACTTTTTAACCAATTATAACTTTAACATAACTTTTTAAAATAATATTAAATTTTTAATTTAAAACTTTATTAAAACTTATTTTTTTAAAAATTAAATTTATAACATAAAAAATTATTAAAATTATTATTATAATTATTATAATATTAACACGTTTTTATTAACTTTATTATTAAATTTATCGATTAAATATACGTGTTTTAAGTTAAAATTAATTATAACATTAACCGTAACATTAATTATATCGGTTATATCGGTCGTATCGGTCGTAACGCATCGGTTATAACGCATTAATCGTAATACGCGTTATAACACGCGTTAAAACATAATATTTAAAAAAATAAAACTATATAAGTATATAAAAAAAAAGCTTAAATAATAATATTATTAAATTAAAGTTAAAATAAAAAATATTTTATACATAATATTATATTATTAATTTATTAATTATATTATTAATTATATTAATTTTTTACCATTTTTTTATTAAATGTTTTTTTTAACGTTAAAGTTTAATATATAATAACGTAACATTATATAAATATAAAAAAAAGTTAAAAAAAAAAAATTAATAATAACATTAAATTATTAAAAAAAAAACTTTTTTATACGTTATTATAATTTATTAAATTATTAAAAACGTTGTTTTTTTTTTATTAATAATTTTATGTTAAATGTTTTTTATAAGTTTAAAATAATTTTAAACTTAAATTCGTGAAACGTTTTACCCGTGATTTATAAATACAATTACACGAGCCATGCGTTACGTGGCGTTTATAACGTTAAAACAGGTAAAACCCGTTTCCACAAAATTTAAATTTAAAGTCATTTAAAATAAACTTATATAATTACATTTATAACTTTTTTAATATTTTTATTAATATTAAATTAAATAACATATAATTTAAACCATAATTTTTATTATTTATTAATTAAAATATTAATATTTTTTAAAAAAAATTTAAATAAATATTTGTAAAATTATTATATTATTAAATTTAAAAAAAATATATATTACCTTGTAAATTATATATATAAGGCAAATAATCGAACTTATATTATATACTTAACGTTACTATTACCTTATTAAACATAGTGCTACCAATTTTCTCGATTTTGGCACAGTTGCATTAATGGTCCACCATACCTAGCTTTAACAATGCCCACTAATCCAAACGCCTCTTCTATCTAGAATATAACGCGTGTCCCACCATCGACAAGTGAATCTTTCAACAATAGAGACCGCGAAGAAATAGACAACTCGAAATGCCACCCAAATCTAGAAGTACTACTGTATGATAACCCATAATGAACGAGTTAAGGCAAGCCAGGATTTCACTATGTTAACTACTATGATATCAGAAACGCAAGGTTCTCGAAGATGCCAGTAATCGCGTCAATCAGACACGTGCGAGGGTGACCCGTCAGAAGACGTTGACTAAGGGCGAAGTTGAGGAGCAGATACAGGATCTGTCAAGTCCTTCATATGAGGAATCCATTACTTCTATGGGAATGGAAGAGATGGGTCAAACTGGGGGTAAAGAGAGTAAGAGTAAGAAGCGTAAGGCGGGCATGTCATTCGAAGAGGAATTAGCAGCTCTCAATCATGACCTAGACGACATCGTTGGTTCCGATGCCTTCGAAGACGAGACAATGCCTAGCTGCGACGTTGTGCGCAGCTGGATCAGAAAGTTACTCGAAGTCGATATCATGAACAAGACTGGATTTTCTCAAGTTATTGGGTGCAGTACAAATACCCTGAATACTTTCCTTGGACAGACTGAGCCCGACGGTGGACAGAATAGTTCCGCATATCACAACACTTGGACGTGGCTGAAGCGACGCCAAGCAGCGAAGTCAGCGATGCCGAATACGAAGAAAACCCAAACGCAAAAGGCCAATTCTTCGAGGTCAAGCACAGGCAGGTCGAATTCCAAGATGTCATCAGTGGCGGTTTCACTCCCGGACATTAAAGACATTAAACACATCTACTTGGACGACGAGGAGACAGACTCGGTTAGCGTGTGGGACTCATGCGACGAGGTCCGACGGAAAATTAATGCGCATCTGGAGACTCCGGGAGTAACACAGGCCCAATTCTGTCGTGATCTGTATGCACAGCTCAATGCGCCCACCATTAAGAGCATCCAGTCAAAACAACTTAACGACTTCCGTCGTGGCCACGGTGCCAAAACAGGAGCCAAAAGCACCGTCTTCTATACCGCATACGTATACTTCGAAAAGCTGCGTCTTGCGCAGGGTAAGCCTAAAACGAAGCACCGCCTGGATATGGAGGATATCTGGGCGTGGAGGGGTGGTTTCGATCTTGAGACTGATAATAGGACCGTGTAAGAGTCGACCGTCTAGAGGACTTTGCAGATTGATATACTTATTGGATTCTAGGTTCGTTGGATCAGCAAGCTCGAGCCCTTACTTTCACTTCGATCGCTACGGCCGCACCGTTTCGACGCCCATGTACTTTTAACATGATCTGAGAACTTAATGTTAATTAAGTCCGCTGCTTCATTTATTTGGCTATGTCCGAGTTAGGTAAATTTTCGATCGCAAGATCATATCTTCCGTTCTTCCAAGGCCCCTTTTCTAATGTCTAATGTAATGTATTAATGTTATGAATATATCTCGAGTTAGAACTATCTGCAATTACCTACTACATCCGTCCCTCCTCTATATATTAGGTATGAAATGAGAAGGAAAAGGCTCTCTATCTTCACATTTCTAGGTCGCCTTGGACCCTATCATTGTCAAGATCCTATGGTAGTACTGGAGTCCCACTGCAGTAAGAGCAGCCGCGATGATCGCTCCGATATAGATTGATAGACTGTAGTAGCTATGGTTCCTTGATAACGCATTCTTTGACTTCTCCCCCTTGACCATAGGATGGTGGACGTAAGGTATCCGCACGTTCTTTTTAGCATTGGACTTCTCCTCCAACCAATCTAGGACAGGAGCTCGGGAGACGACTGGTCCGTATATGCGGTTTGTGCTGAATTCTCCAAAGTTAGTGTAGGGGATGAGGTATTTGGTTATGATCTTATCCATTGGGCTGAGCCACGCGAGAATTCGGGCCCGACGCATAGATATGACATGAACTACTGGCTCATCCCTTTTCCGCTCCTCCTGGTAGTCGGCGAATAACGCTTCTAAGGCTTTCGTATCGGGTGACCGAGTAGTCTCGAGTAAGCGTCGGAGCTTATTTACGAGGACGACTACATCGGCCAACCCGCTATTATACCCCAATCCGGCATGAGGCTCTAGTTTCCGGATAGCATCACTCACGAGGACGATGCGATTCCAATACCACTTGTCTACACGACCCTCCTCCAAGTTGATCATACCAAAGTTTCCATTCTGTAGGCCGAAAATATCGCGCACTCTCACGCCGGGAGCGGCATACAGATGTCCCCATCTCTGTATGGCATCCTCCTTATCCTTTTCGGTATATTTGATGCGTTCTGACGTAGGTTTATCAAGCGCTTCGTACACGCCGAACCATACTTGAGAGTTACCAGTGAGAATCTGAGTCGATACACGTCCTGACGCGCATTCGTGATTGACATTCTTTGGTAACGTCGGCGGGATAGGTATGCTTCCAAAGACCATCCTGAATGTAGTGACATAGGGACTCTTGGTCGTTTCCGATATGCTAGGAGCTGCCCTGCCCTCCTCCATCGCCTGCATGCATTGACGGACCCTGCTGTGAACGCCATCTATACCTATCACAATAGAACCCCTTTCCACGGTACCGTCGGCACACTCGACGACCACCCCATCATCTGACACGTTCACTTTGACGACGTGCTTCTTGACCTTGATTCGTGCTTTCGCACTGTCAGGTAGGCTCTGATATAAGGCTTCAAGGAAGAGCGGGCGATGAGTAACCTTGATTCCGTACCCGTGGCTAGATCACGAGAATTGTAAGCTCAGTTCTGTACTTATATTACCTTGGTTCTGGATTGGCATACTTTCGTTTGATCAAGTCTCCGGCGTCCCACGATAGTAATATGGACCCATCGTCGGCAGACAGAGTAACTCCACGGTCGATAGGGTTGAGGACGGGCTCTAACGCATCTTGCAGATCTAACTGGTCGAAGATGCGAAATGTCGGCGGCCACAAGCTCAGGAGCGAGCCAAACTCGGGTGCCAAATTCTCATGTCGTTCAAGTATAACGAAGTCGATGTCCGTTTTGGATAAGATATGTGCTGCAGTGAGACCCACGAGTCCGCCTCCGACAATTACGATCCGAAACGGGTTCTCTACAGTAGCCATGTTCAAACCCGTCTATCTTTTAAACCGGTTATCGTTTGTACTCCTCCGGGTATAACAAAACGACTTGCGGCTGATTCGAGATGATCCCGGCAGGTCCTATTCGAAATGTTCTAGAAGTAGACTCTTTTGAAGGTGACAAGATCCCTGTCGAACGCACGTATCTCAGTTTAGCCGGTGATCAAGTGGATATCGTACGAAAATGGTGAAGGCCGATTTAGTAAACAGCCTAACCGTATTACATACCCAGGTAGTTATAATCCCTTTATATATAAGTCTTGATATATACCTACGTAATCTAGTAGTACCTTATTCCTATCGCTAAAGATGATTCGGGGTAATCCGGAGTTCGATTACGATCTCAGGGATTATTTACCTATTATCCTATCAAGTCCTTCTTAGTCCGGCTGAAATTACTCCGGTGATACTATCGGTCAAGATGGCATGACGAGTTCAACTTCTCGTGTCAGTGTGATTCCTTGCTTGGGTCGTTGCCCATTGGCAACAATGTAATGATGACCTTTAGCCTCCCTCAACTGCAGTTTAGCTAACCCCTGAAAGCCTCCGCGGACGCTATCCGCTTCGTATCCCTTGGCACGAAGCACGCTAGTCGCTACGCGGGAACTGTCGCCATCGTAACAGAGGATCAGAATACGCTTGCCCCGTAATAACGAAACTACCTCGCTACACGGTGCTCGAAAATACTCATCTATTTTCAACCACAACGCTTCGAGTACGGCGGGATCTGAGAATGGACTTGCGGTCAATGAATCCACGAATGGCAAGTTGACGGAGCCGGGCAGGCTGAACTCTCCGAAAGCCACCGGTTGACGAATATCGATAATGACCGCATCATCTTTGAGAGTAATGGCTTCACTCAGCCCATTTTGGCTTGTTGCCTCTTGTAGAATACCGGACAAGACTTCCTCGTTAGTCGCCACTCTTCTCGTTTCCAAAAACAGGGGAAGAACGGTTGCGGCATCTTTCTCCCATGCCTCGTCATAACGGTAAAGATCGACTTTAGTCAGTGCCTGATGTTCGGGTTAGTGCTACTATTGTTTCTCGTCATATTAACCCGTACCTCGTTCTTAATGGAAGGGAAATACTCCGATCCCAACTTATCAAAGTACTCGTTGATGTATTGATAAGGTAGATCACAGCAAAGGAACACACAATGGATTTCCCCATCCTCGCCTGCGTACTTCGATAGCGTTCCTGCGGCCTTTTGCCTTTCAATGAACTGCAATAAGCCCTTCAGATTGAAACCTGAAGAAGGGCCGCATACGATGCCTTGGCGGCACATGTCTAGCGACAAGGAGAAGGAGTCGTGTGAGCCAACTTCCTCGATATGATCTACTGCTGATTTCCAAGGGAACTCTACTGGCGCAAGAAGAGCAAACGAACGAGGACCTGGGACTCTATCACCGGGCGCGGTGCACACTCTACCAGTTGTTAGTATGCCCGTCGCCAAACGAATTAGATTAGAGGCGTGCAAACCCTAAACGGAAGACCGAGGACTTCGACTCCTTAAAGAACATCCCTAATCCCGTCATAGTGCCTAGAATCTATCAGATCATGACGACCATTGTAGCGTTTTCAGCATAACCTACCAGAAGTACCCATACCAGCACAGATCAAATTGATCTCTGGGAGTTGTCTGAGGATTTGGGGTCCCGTCCATCTAACATGTGCTTTCCAGTTCTATTATCGGTTAGTATTCGCTAATTACAGAGAAGTATAGGTTAGGTTACATCGTCATTCTCATATTGATTCGGGTTGATGATCGACTCATTATCTTCGGCCATCGTCTGAGCTGCCCTGATCCCTCCACGCCCATCGGTGGGCTCTGGTTGGGATGGGCCTCCAAAGAGAGTACTAGTGCGAGGTTAACTAAATATGACATTAGGAGAACTAGGGGTCAACTTACATATCGAGGTCGAAAAACTGCATTAACCGTAACTTGGCTACGCTAGTCTTATTGCTCAAAAATGCACGAACATCGGAAACACCGTGGAAAACTCGGGAGACGAGGGACATCGATATTACAGTCGAGCCCGAGCTGTATTCGATGATGGTCTTGGTCTTCCCCGGCACCACACTCTTCTCTAGAAGGTTTAATGCTAACACAACGTTAATATTGAAACGTGTATGCGATATTGTATCGACGACTCACCTGGCATGGCTTTTACGTTGTTGGCCGGATGCATCGTCATCATTTTGGCGTATATCCTCACGCCATCACGCCGATAGGGGTTAAGTTCGTCTGGGATCTCCACGAGAGGCAGGGGAGGAGCTGAATCTGGATTAAAATAATCCTGAACCGAGCTCGCGCCCTTGTAGACGTTGAGGAAGTTGTTATTTGACATGGCCGATTATCTTAGTTCCTTTCCTATGAAGGCTCATGGGTCATACTGAAAAGCCTAGAGGTGCAACTAACACGAGGGCCAGGATATATATACCTAGGTAAGTATGCTCGCTACCTGGGCCTTTATTACGGGGGTTTTAGATATGTCGAACTGACGATTCAGGCCCAGTTCTGATATTACATAGTCGCATCCACATCTCCAGGAGCGTCACAATCCGTATCCAGGTTAATTACCTAACGGGATCTTGTTTGAGCAGATATTCTCCCTGGGTGCATGACGCGGACGCGGCAGTCTAGACTATTTCCTTCCTCGGTCGCTAACAAGGTCTCTTTACCAGATTTCTTGGCTGGCGGATCGACATGTCGCGAACATGGCTGACATTGACGGGAAGAAGTTTCATAAATGATTAACATCCAATATTCTCTAGCACGAGCATATAAACTTCCAAGATCCATACTTAGTGTCCGCATTCCTGGTTAGCCGTTACATAGGTTACAATATAGCGCCGATCCCTGTACGAGGCACTTTGAGGTCGTTTCCAACCAATTAGACTGTCGAACCTAACCCCGGCCATGTCTGTGTGTGCATGGCACGGTGGTAAGGTAAACCTTACTTTAGGTAGTATCAGGGAATAATCATATCCCATAACCTGGGCTAAATGTAGGTAGACTTACACGTGAAGCTTTTCGTGATGTGCTTAAATTTTTACAGCCCGCATTTGTAAGCTTGCGTGCTTTGAATAGCTTGAACGTCGTCCTTGTAGGATTTTTGCTAAGCTGACTGGCCTACTTCTAGGCATCTTAGCTCTCTCATTCCACCGCCTTTTGGTCCTAGAGTGGAAATCCGGGGACTTGAACTCCACTAATTGTTCGATGTATATTGCTGGTAGACAGGTATCCAACGTTATATCCAACTCACATTTTCAACGGCCTAGGCTTTTATTGCTTCAACCACCGGCAAGTGTCTCCTGACGTATCGGGTTTGCTTCGAAGTAGATCGCTCGATGAGGACTTTTTCGTCGTGCTGGTGGATCTCTTTACCTTGTAGATCTCTCAGCCGCCATCAAGGTCTACTCATCTAACCTAGTAGCCTGGCAACATAACTAAGACTAACAAGGATTATTTTCTCCAGCAGGCTATATGGTACTAATTCTTCGTCGCCCGCTCACCTACATGATCCCATGACAAAATAAATACTCGATCGAGTTGCACCTTAAAGCAAGTATCCCACGCACTTGCAACTAGTCTTGCAGAAGGTTGCAATGGGAGACCGATCCCAATCCGACGATGTTGCTAATGTCACTATTGGGGGAGAAACTACAGTATTCACAGAGCCCAAGGGTGGCTCGGAGAGCGATGCTGAAGTACGCCATGTCTTCAATGAGCAGACCAATTATGTCCCTAGGAGGACCATAATCACGGTAAATATCGCCGAAGCAGAGACACCTCCATGATATTTAGGTGCTAACTGGTTCAAGATATTCCTCGCATGTGCCAGTGTCGACCTATTAGCTCTTATGGACCAAACGACATTAGCTGCAAGCTTATACATCATTGCAGACGCGCTGAAGTCAACCGGCCAAGCGTCGTGGATCGCTAGCGGATATTTCATGTAAGTGTTTGCTATACAATATGGATTATATCAGTATGAATTATCGACGTTGATTATGAGGCTAAACACTTTACCAGAACATCAACCGTAGGGCAACTTTTGTACGGACGGCTTTCAGACATCTGGTCTCGCAAAGTGATCCTGCTCATCGGCTTAGCTATCTTCTTCGTTGGCTCCCTGGCGTCATCTCTTTCCCAGACTGTAACTCAGCTGATCGTTTTCCGTTGCTTCACCGGCATCGGCGGAGGTGGACTGATGACCATAGCCCAGACCATTGTCAGCGACGTGGTGCCTTTAAGGGAAAGGGGAAAATACCAAGGAATCCTGGTGTGTAGATTTAGCACCCCTCATCCCTGGTTTCTCTATCTGACTGTTTTCTTAGGGAGCAGTTGTTGCCATTGCTAATGGAATCGGTCCCGTCATTGGCGGAGCCCTCTCCTCTATTTCGGAAGACTCTTGGCGGTGGATATTCCGTTTGAATTTGCCTCTTACCTTGTTGACCACTTGCTGCGTTGTATTCGTTATGCCGCTAAAGAAAGTGGAGGGGGACTGGAAATTGTAAGAGAACGCCATACCCTTCCTAGTGTTGTCACATGCTAAAGAATACCTCTAGAAAGTTGAAAGCTGTCGACTTTCTCGGTATCGTCCTTACTCTAGCTGGTGTTACCGTCCTAATGCTGGGACTGACATGGGGTGGTTCTGAATACCCATGGGATTCCGCTGCCGTAATCACTACGTTGGTTCTCGGGCTCGTACTATGTGTAGCCTTTGTTCTGTGGCAATGGCGTGGACCACGATATCCTTTAGTACCCCGTAAGCTCATCTTATCTAGTGACTATTTGTATCTACATGTATCTAACCGTCGATTTAGTACATATATTCAAGTCTAAGATCGTCAATGGCGCGTGCCTTACTATGGCTATCAACGGCTGGAACTTCGTCGTCCAAGTCTACTATGTCCCTACGTTCTATCAGCTCGCCTACGGGTACTCCGCAACCAAGGCTGGCGCTATGCTGCTTCCAATTACGCTCATACAGACGCTTAGTAGCACACTATCGGGTCTAGTGGTTCACTGGGTTGGTAGGTACCGCGAATGTATCTTGTTTGGATGGGTCTGCTGGGCTATTGGTCTCGGGTTGATGTCAACACTGGACGAAAACTCAGGACTCGGGAAACAGATAGGATATGCCATCATTATTGGAGTAGGGGTTGGCAATACACTCCAGCCGTGAGTTCCGAGTATCCTTATTCTCATGAAATCATTGAAACTGATACATGATATATAGATCTCTAATAGCCTGTCAAGCTGGAGTCGGGAGGCGAGACATGGCCGTTGTGACGTCTTTTAGAAAGTGAGAATCCCTATTGTTATTAACTAGAGCTTTTTCTAACCAACGTCTTCCAGTTTCGTACGAAATCTTGGAGGAACATTGGGTCTTGCTATCTGTGGCACCCTACTGTAAGCAATTATTCCCAAGATTCATAATTAGCTCTTTTTTGACAGACCTGGTTCTATAGGAATAACATTCTAGCAAGTTCCATTTCATCGCTGGAAATTGACGGCGCCGACCTCAAAGATCTCCTCAACGGCCCGCAATCTTACTTATCGTCTTTACCCTTTGATGAGGCGTTAAGGATCCGCTCGGTTCTCATTCCTGCATACCGCCAAGGATTCAGGGTGATATTCCTTGTAGGAGCATCTCTGGCTGCTTTTGCATTCGTCATTGCTTGGTTCATGATGCCACAAGTTGAATTAAGCCGTCCTGATGATGAAAAACTGAAAGAGGAGGGCCGAAGGCAGCAAACGGCAAAGCAGAATGCCCCAACCCCTTAAAGATATCGCGATGACCATCACAGTTATCAATCCTAGATTTACTACAATGGGGCGGCTCAAAGCTACAAGACAACACAAAATCCAATATTTTCAAATTGCCGTTCGACTCATAAGACTTTAGGTTCTATTTAATCAAATTAGAGTGATATCTTGAAGTTGCCAAAGTCCCTTCCTTTGTCCTTCGACCATGTCTAGATCAATAAGTTCTGGTACCCAACAGCAAGAGACAAACCGATATAGCTCTCTGGACTGACCAACAGGTCGTAGTATGTAAGGCACTGCAGAACCTACGAATACGCACAACTTATCTCCAATATGGACATCCCGGTTTGCCCCCGTACTTCCCATTAGACCCGACGCTGTAATGAAAGGCTTGCGGAAGTTACAATGAATTCCTAACTTTGAGTTCAAGTCTACAATAGCGCGTACTATTAAAGGACCATCGTTCATCAATGGCACTCTTCTGTTACGATTAGTTAGCAGGTCGTAATTTTCGCTCATCTCGGTCTTATCCCCCGGTAGCTCATGAAAGAGTGCGCACTTCCAGGCCTTACGCCGCTCAGCTTTCGTTGTGAATGTTTTGCGTGCACAAGCTTGGCGCTCCATCTCGTCTTCCCATTCAATAAGTCGTGTGTGACAGACTCTTATCGAGTCATTAAGGGTTGCGATTTGAGATGTACCCGATTTGAAGCTTTTGCCTGTGTGCTGGATACTTGGGGTAAAGACGTGTCCTTTGATTGTGACTTCACGTAAATCAACCGAGAAACGCGGTGGGTTTGGCGGTGGTTGCATCCCCTTTAGCTCGTGGATTTGCATGTAGGTCATAATGCCGGTCGAAAGCTTCGAAGCTGTATCACCCTCTAATTCGGAAGTCCATGTCGATGCCCATGATGGTAAGCCCTCCATAGGACCTACCACGGAACAGAGAGCATGGGACAGCAAACCTCCCTTAAATAGGAAAATTCCCAAGTCCCTAAACATATCCGCAACTGGTTTTGTATAGTCGACTTCGAGCAACTTTTCATTTTGCGCATCGCCTTTCAACAACCCAAGGATTCCATACAACCTGTCCCTGGGTTCGGTCTTCTCGAAGAAGCGAGTCTGCCAGAGTAAATCAGCTAGCTCCAGGTGGATCGGCTGGCGAGATCTGTCTTGAGACCTGGCAGTGCGAACCCGTATCCAACATCTCTGTATACTATCCGCTCTCGATGCGCCGCTCAACCGCCAAACATGAGTGTGCTGGCCAAGTTGAAGCCTACGCAGAGCATCTACGGCTTCCAGAACTCGATCCCAATCTATTAACCGGTCTCCGTAAACCACCGTCGCAGACTTTGCCAGCACAATTTCTTGAAGTATCCAGACGCGATTGAACCATGGTTGGAAGAAAAACTTATGCAGTAATTCTATTCCGTATAGTGAATTGCCCATTTTGACCATTATCGTGACTGCAGCTTCGGGATCTTGGGAATTTGTATCAGCCAGTAAGTTCAGTAGGTCGATTGTCTTGTCAGAGACGCATTCGCCTCGGATAGAGGTATCTGGACCCAACCACACAATGATATGCCCAGCCTGGCTATAGATTTTGCCCATTCGACCGACCTCTTGGTTTCGCTCTTGAACATTAGCTTGGTTGATACATAACGCATCCACCCAAATAAGCCTCTTTCTGTCTCGAAGTCGTAATGCGCGCAGGGCAGCCTCGAGGTTTCTTGTTACTTGGAACGGTTTCTTGTTAAGGGTGATAAAAGCTGTGCTAGAAGCGTCGCCCCATACATATGAGAGAGCTTCGTATTCATGACTGTCTATATTTTCAATAAAGGGGAAATTCTCAAGAGTACATTCAATATTTTCGCCTTCCTCTCCTTGGTGAATTGTTACTAGGCGGATTTGAGAGCCATCTGTAGGTAGTGCTCCATAACTATTGGTGTTGGTAGATTTTTCTATTGTCATATTTGAAGTATATAGAAAATATTTTGATGATAATGGGTAACACTGTAGTTGTGATAGGGTGGTCGTTCGAATCTTTAAACCCCCTGCACAGCCTAACAGCCTAACAGCCTGACAGCCTACAAGAATGCCTATTGCTTAGAGGGTGACATTCTTCTATCAACCCCTCACTCTTACTCGCAACATCAAATAAGAAGAGACTTCACAGCCTCTTTTTTGCGGCATAAACTCGGCTTTCACCATCCACAGGAAACGACAAACCAGCCCATAAATTTATGGGCTTCTTGAAGTAATGCTTTAGAGCGAATGTAAGAACTTTACTACATCCCGATGAGTTCATCAGAGCTGATATTAATGCCTTGGATACTTACCTGGGTTAGGTACCTTGCTTAGCATTCCTATCTAATATTCTACAAGATATGAACGGTCAAAAGTGAATCTACGCAGAGAGCTATTCCTTAAAAGAGGAAGAAATAACATTGAAGCAACTAATCTGTCAAAACAAATAGGGTTAACGTTGGTCTCGGATCTTTTTACCATCACAGTATGTTAACTTAGAAGTAAGTGTCCATAAGAATGCCATTACCTAGATTCCGCGGAGATAACTAATTCTAGGTACTTATAAAATGTCTCAAATAACACTATCAACAAGTAGATAACCCTTCTTTACCTATAATACTTGTTATTAATTCTCGGTCTAGAACTGGCATTGCCTAGTAACCGAAATCAGGGGCTTCTTTATTTAGGTAGTTTGTATATACGAAGGCATTAAGGGGAGAAGAAGTATATACACCTCCTAAGGGGTTTATCCAAGTACCTGCCAGTGAATCCCTAAGTTGACCTACTTACATGCATATAAATACATTACGCCGTAGCTCGCAAGATAACGCTATGTTGGTGACAACCATGCTTATCCGTCTCCGATTTGCTTGATCTTCATAGGTGAAGGATTATAATACAACTTCCCCCATATGCACTCCGTACCCCGCCTGCATCACCTGGTGGATATTAAAGCCAAGAGATAAGATCGTGTCAAGCAATTAATATTAGAGCCGAATATATCATTCTATGATGCACCCTGCTTCATCTCTCTCTCTCTTGGTATTCAGAAAGAGACACTATACTCGTAACCTCCTTTAGATAAAGCTTTTTAGGTCCACATTCGCAAAAGCCAGAATGTCAGTCCCTCAGCTAAGAACACCTAGTAGAAGAGTCGTCAAAGACGAATTACAACCGATTCTTGCAAAAGCCGGGCTAGAGCTTCCTACTACTCTCTTAGAAGACCACAGTGCATTTATATCTTCGTTGGATGATATAATTGCGTCTCTCCCAGATGATAAGAGTATATTGCCCTACCCTGACCTCACCAGGTATCCGCGTACGGATATCCATGTCCCCGAGGACAACGAGTTAGGCGCATGGGCAACTAAGGTAGAGTCTACCGAATTGGCCATTTGAAGACTCTAATAGGAAAAATAGGTTACTGCGAAATGTATAAACCCTACGAGCGACCTGCTCAGGGGCCGCACTATAGCACTTAAGGATAACATGGCATTCGCGGGAGTTCGGTGTACGAACGGAACGTCCATGGTGGATTGGACTCCTAATATAGATGCAACAGTCGTGACGAGAGTTCTGGACGCTGGAGCTACCATTGTCGGTAAAGCCGGTATGATTCTTTGACTTAACGAGGTCCTCATTTGTAAAGTTTGCGTGGGGTTAATACGATACAGCATGCGAAAACTCGTGTCTCGAAGGAATGTCTGGAACAGCCGTGACTGGACAGGTCCATAACCCATTCGCAAAGGGATACAGTGCTGGCGGATCAAGTAGCGGATCGGGACGACTCGTGGCGACCGGATCCGTTGATCTGGCCTTTGGCTGCGACCAAGGTGGGAGTATTCGGATCCCCGCTTCATCTTGCGGCATTGTTGGTCTTAAGCCGACTTGGGGCTTAGTACCTTATACTGGTATTCTGAGCTTAGATGCGACTATTGATCACGTAGGCCCGATGACCAAGAACGTGAGAGATTGCGCTTTATTCCTCGAGGCGATTGCGGGACCAGATGGATGGGATGATCGCCAACCACCACTCGGCCTCGAGGGAGATAGATTGAAGTTTGTGGCTCCTGTAGACCTGACACTTGGCAAAGAGCCAGCGAAGATGCTCGAAGGCTTCAAAATCGGCGTGCTAAGCGAGGGTTTTGAAGTCCCTGGGCAAGATACTGCCGTCGTGACATCCGTCAAGTCGGCAATTGAGAAGTTCAAGTCACTTGGAGCGGAAGTCGCTTCGGTTTCGGTGCCGTTACATAAAGAAGCCCCTTTACTTTGGGCATGTGCCTTACCTTTGCCAGGGGGTCGACAGTCCCTCCTTGGCGATATGGATGGGAGGAAACAGCTATACTTAACGGACCGCGCTGAACTAATAGGCTCAAAGCTGACCCAATCTCAGTTTGACGCTCTAGGACCCGGAGCATCCAATATGTATATTGGGTATCTGTGGATCCAAGAGAAATACGGCGCCAAGGTGCAGGGGAAGGCTATGAATCTCTTGAAAGCTACCAGCGTAAGATTTCTTGCTTCAAGTATTACTAGCACATATAGGCTGATTACCTGTTACCTCACAGGATGCCTACGACAAAGCGCTTGAGGCGTTTGACGTTTTAGTTATGCCAACTCTGCCTTACCCACCACCACGTTTGCCAGAGCCCGAATCAAACGAAGGTCCGCGAAACTATTTGGCTCGGACAACTGGATTAATAGCCAATACTTGCCCTTTTAATAGTAGGTGAAAATTCCTGTTCTACTTCAGATAAAGATCACTGACGGATACCACTGAGAAGATTCGGGCCATCCTGCTCTTTCACTGCCCGTTGGTTTCGTGCCTGCTCGGGAAGACCCGACTGTAAAGCTTCCTACGGCCATTCAAATAGTAGGCCGCAAGTATGCAGATGTCGATTGTCTAAAGGTAGCAGCCGCATGGGAGAAGGAATTTGACTGGAAGGTTCTCTAGGATCAAACGGCCGGCCTTAGCCGAAATCCTCCCTCTTGGACGTATCTATGGTTACCGGGAATTAGAAGGGTCTATGGCAGGGAGATTGTCTCTTCATATTTATTGTTGGATTAATGGTTCTATTTAGGTTGTATAAGTGTTTAACAAGTAAACTACACATAGTTCGAGACTTTCCAGACATTGAAGTTAGGCAATTACAGTGAGGCGTACCGCAAAGAACTCAATGTCTATCAAAAGTCAAAATGATACTTTCGTAGTCAGAGGTTGGCCAACTCAAACTCAGTCCGGTATTCATCAATGTTGAGCCAGACCAATTCTGCTCCCAGGTCCCATTGCTCACCGTATATTTTGCATTTGGATCTAAGCCCTGTAGCTTCAGCGGCGGTGGTAATGGTTTCAGGGCAGATCGGATCTGAAAAGCAAATAGGACAGCGGAGTCATGCTCGGGAGAGACGAACATAGCTGCAGGCCAGTTGGACTGATCCGGGAGTGCTAAGCGGTAGAAGTCGCCGTTAATCACGATAGGGTTAATTTTCTGCTGTGTAGATATCAGCTTGGGAATCGCATCGAGTTCCTCTTGGGTAAGCGTAGAAGGATCTAGCTCGAAACCGAACGACCCGCACATCGAGGCAACGGCTGCTCGAAAGGCTAAAGGAGTAGTACGGCCGGTTTGATGATTCGGGACAGCGCTGACGTGACAACCCATTGCTGAGGGCGGATAGGGATACGATGTGCCAAACTGGATGTAAAGACGTTCTAAACCATCTGTATCATCGCTCGTCCAGCTCTGTGGCCAGTAGTGAAGTAAACCGGCGTCGAACCTAGCCCCGCCTGACGCACATCCTTCCCACAGGATCTCTGGGTGTGCAGTCGTGAGATTGTCAACAACTCGATATAATCCCAATATATAAGCGTGGCTTGCAGAAGGAGATGACATCTCATGAATGCCACGGTTATTGTCCCACTTGATATACTTGATAGGAGCAGAATCAAGTATCCTTTCGATTACCGTAATGATATAATCTTGGACTTCTTGAAGGCCAAGGTTTAGAACAAGTTGGTTTCTTTGAAGTGTACGGTTGTGATTTCCCGCATGCATGCACCATCCAGGATGCTGTTTATACAGATCAGAATCGGGACTGACCATTTCCGGCTCAACCCATAGTCCAAACGTCACATGTTCCGAGGTGTTCTGGACCATTATATTATCCACCTGTTCGACATAGGGTCCGAGACCGTCAGGAAACTTGGCTGGATCAGGAGTCCAATCACCCAAGCCGAGACTATCATTATTTCGGGGATAATCAGTACCGAACCATCCATCGTCGTTAACAAAAAGACTACAGCCAAGGTCAGCCGCATCTTGGGCCAATTTAACCATTGAAGACTGATTAAAATCGAAACCAAGACCCTCCCAAGAGTTCAGCAGTGGTGGGCGAGTCTCGAATGTGTGATTTGAGCGAGATAGATGGTTTCTATAAAGCGAATGGAAAGATCGGGACATTCCTCCCAAACCTTGTTCTGAGTAGACAGAAACTACCTCGGGGGAAGTAAATACCTCTCCTGGTGCAATAGACCACGAGAGGTGCAGTGGGTTCAAACCAAGGAGAACTCTAACCCAGCCTGTCGACCAGCGTTCGACGTCGGCGGAGAATGAGCCTGTATAAACCAAAGAATACCCGGTCGCCGGACCGGAAGACTCGGTAGTGCTCGGAGAAGCCAGAGCAAGAAATGGGTTATGGAAGTGAGACGAGTACCCTGCAGACGAGCGGAAGCTAGTAGAATCGTTAGTTGATTAGGTCTATTGGGAGGAGGCCCGGAAGAAGTCCAGCTCACCCTTGTTCTCCGTACGTAACCGGGCGTCTATTAATGCGAGCCTCTGCCGCCCAGTCACCATGGAGATCAATCATCTCTAATTCCTCATTCGGCATATCTATGCTCCAGCTACTAGCTCGAAGCACCGTTACATCCCGGCTTCCGTTATTCGTAATCCTAAAGCTGCGGGTAACAGCGTTATACTTAGGAAAGATGGAGTAGTACAGGTCTGCAGAGATATCGGAGTAGTTGTCGTATAAGTGTATAATGAGTGTTGATACGTCCCCTTCGCTGCCATAAGTGGCCGGTAAGCCGGGGAGAGACGGTTTCCCTGGGATAATATCATAGCCCGTATACGAAAATGCCGATACGGTGTTCCCGTCGGAGTGTTGAATATGGATTGCTGGCACTCGGAAATCGCCACGACCAAGATCGGGAAACTCGCGCCGACTGTACGTGTATGGGGTGCCCCATCCGGATACCACACCGTTAAAGTCGGGAACCGTCTCGGCCGCATAGGCTCCCCAATGATCATGGATTAAATCCAACGTCAACGGATCAACATGGAATTGATAGGAGATATTGGAGGAAGATAAAGAAAACGAATGACCGTCATCACCCACAGAAATCCCTAAGAGGTACCTAGGTAGTTAGAAGCTATTTCAATTGTTCGATTGAGAGATAATGATAAACCGTCCCTTACAATTCGCATTATCTTGACACAACGCCAGCAAGGGGAATAGAGACCCTACCACGGTCGTGGCTAAGGGGGTTTGAATTCTCATATTGTATGGCTCCTTTGTTAAAGAAGGAGAGGGATCAAACGCACAAACGCATCGGTTTTATTTAATCCGCTTAGCTAGGCACATATTTATTATTTCACTTTTTGATCCTTCGGGAGGAATCAATCCATTTCAACTCCGAGATTCCGTGCCGGTAGATACGTCATCTGCAGCCCAAGATTCCTATCCTTGTCAGGTCTATTCAGCTCGGCTCCGGTACATCTGACATCGAGAGCAACTCGTTGCTAAATTAAGAAGTAAACTCTTAAGAATTAGGTTACCTAGATACAAGGTACAATACAATAAGCTATAGCTATCGCGCGTACGACTAGTTATTAGTATAAAGAATTTCCATTTTAAATCTTGAAAGTCTGTCGTAAGGAATGTGGAGGTAAAAGAGACAAAGAGGCAAAGAGGCACTTCGCGCGGAGCTTGGTGTTGTAGTATGCGTCCTTGGCTCTCCTAGCTACTCCGCACGGGCATCGTATCATCCTACCTTGGTCATCATCCCCATGATTATAAAAAGGAGACATGCGGGGAAAAGGTGGATAATACAGATCTAAGACTTAAGTAAGACTACGGTCTGTACGCTGCCCATAGAATACCATTTAGTAAATGTTCCATGAAGTTCTGATCCGAATACGCGTCCCCGAAGTGACCCAGTGATGTGTAAAAAGAACGCCCACCGTCGAACTCTCGACACCATGCTAGCGGATGGTCCTGGCCTAATTTGCCCCCTTTATAAGTCTCTTCGTTGATAGATAGCAGCACGGTAACCTTCGCGCGGGGGTTCGCATCGAAGTTGTACCATTCATCAAACCACTCCCACTTCTCCGGTAGGTCGGAGACGATGACATGGTCTTTCTTTTCAACAGTCAGGACGCCGGGCTGCGGCTCCGGATGATCAGTAAAGACGGCACCGATGAGTTCTCCGTACCACGGTTCTCTCGTCATACCAGCTGCGGCACAGTGAATTCCCACAAACCCTCCCCCGGCTCTCACGTAGCTCTGCAATCCAGCTAATTGTTCGTCATTGAGAAAGTCACCGCTGGTCTGCAAGAATTTGACGACTGCGTACCGGGATAGGTTTTGGCCGCTGATGTGAGATGCATCTTCCGAGGAGTCTACAGCGAACGCATTAGATGTGGCGCCAAGACGTCGGATGCCCTCAATGCCCGCAGGAATTGATTCGTGTCGATAGCCTGCCGTCTTACTAAAGAGGAACACGGCAGGTTTATTAGACGCCATGAAAAGGTATAAACCCGACTACGTCAAATGCTGAAAATATGAAAATAAAGGACATTGAAATAAAAAGAAATCACGCCGGGTAGGCTCGTGTAGGGGCTTGTACTTGGGGACCAGTTGGGGTCATATTATCCTAGCAAGCAAGCTAACCTAAGGCGTAATATTCCCTGGCGGGTTGGTATCGCATATCTTTGGCGACAGAGTACCGCGCGATGAAGCTGAAATAGGAGAAATATATATAGAGATATATCCAGGTGATCTTCTCTTGGTGCTATTAACTTAAGCCACGATCTGGCCGTATGAGTCATTACACAGCACTATTGCGCAGTCAACATAGCTATAAAGCCCATGGACTCGACCATTTGTTGGATCGTCTTTTAGTCAAGTCTCCGTACGTACCTAAGGTGCGATACATTTAATCATGGCAGGACAGGGCAAACCAACCCCTGCATCTGCTATGTTCTCTGAGCCCTATGTGGTTGAACTGGACGATTCTTACTACCACGAAGAAAACGACCCCGAGATGCTAGATCCACAACAGCCCAATCACGAAGGTTACAGATACGGCAACCATAATCTTCAGTTTTCGCAGCTCAATGACTTGGTTCAAAGCCATACTGCCGCGCCCGCAGCTGCGATTAAACGTACTAGACCGTACAACGATTGTCATTCTCGTGAGCTGCATAACGAGCACCAGAGAGCTATCTGGCAGCATATACGAGATCAAGCCGAAGCTGATGCAAATATACCCAAAGCGCTGTTCTCGCCTCCACGGACTTACATTGAAGTGCGGGTATCAGAATGGCCTATTTCGAGTCATTACTGTTGCCCCTGTGACATTGAGGAAACAGACTGCGAAGTCATCGAGATCCGAGCGCCGAAGGATTCAGGGGAGGGTATCACGAAGGATATATTCATTCAGCAAGTTAGCGAGGCGATGTACGGCCGAGCCGTGGATGCAGAGGAAAACAACGAAGGCACCAGATACCGGATAGGTGGTGAAGATGATAGGCCGGTTATCGAGCAATTTGATTATATGATACAGGGTGGGCATTCTAGTGAGGTTAACATCATGGGACACATCTTTGCGCTGACGAAGGGTATTTCGCCAAAGCCGCAGTACGAAAAGGCTACCTAGGTAGTTAATACCTGGTAATCAAGTACACAGCCAGGGATGAGAAATTATGGGAAACGATAGGAGACGTGGGAAACACGCACCCTACCTTGTAAATACCTATGCATAATTCGCGTACACATAGACACAGGGACAGGTTATTGGAAAGTCGCAGCAACTTGCAGCAACTCGGTTGAAAGGGCTATATCAATTCTTGAAAGTTGATTTATTCGGTCGCTCATAGTGTACGTGCATGGATGTGACTGTGACCAAGATGAGACGGCCGTGGGCGACTAAAGTACGAGGGATAGATGATGTTAATAGCAACAACAATGAAAAGAAGGAAAAGAAATTGTAGCTACAAGGCAAATTTTATGATAATGCATTAATAAGTTACACTAATCGACCGCGTCATGCTGTTTGAGCTGTTCTCATTAAACATGATTATTATCTCCGAATATGTGGAGAGAAGTTGGCCGCAGTTTGTTTCTCCACCAAATGAGACGAGATATAGCGAATTAGGACTCAAGGAAGACTCAACACATAGTTGAAGCTCTCGGAGACTCAAGGGGTTTTGTATTTCGGTTCCCTCAAACTCCGAAAGACAAAGCACCCTCATTAGAAGTCCATTACTATGTAGAAGCCGTCGTTTTAGTGCCATGGGGGGCCTTCAAGGTAACTCGACTCGACTACAGGCCGTTTCAAGGGGTCGAGCAAGGGGTCGGGACCAGGGGCGAGGCCCCCCCACCCACACGCAACGGCAGTGGAACGACCTCCTGTTAGATGCTGTTAGATGATATGCTACTAGGTATATATCCGTATAAGATGAGACGGCTCTGGAAAGGATGAGTTTTCTTGTTCTGATCTACGATTTTCCCGTTCATCTCCCGTTCATCTTCGTCATTTTCGTGTGATCAGCCGGTCTGCTTCGATTCTTTGGGTAGTTAATTGTTTTCGTACAGCGTTCTGTCTCTCATTCATTTATACTATTCTTCGTCTTCTAGTTCTGTGAACATCATGTTTTCCCTTAGACAGATCATTACTGCTTCGGCCATTCTGGCAGTGGCTCACGGCCAAGGTGTTATAATCAAAGCGCAAGGAGCGAAAGGATCGCCGGCGAGTCTCGGCCTACAAGGTATGTTTAATAGTCGTGTCTATTCCTAGTGCACATTCACTAATACGCGTTCAAGTTAATCCCGATGACAACGGCGACGCCAACTTCATATCGCAAACCGAGATCGTGACAAACATCGTGAACCAGTGCGGGAGAACTTTACAAGCCGGCAATATCGATGTGGGCGCTAATACCGAGGATGCTCTGGCAGCAAACCAAGTCACCAAGGTGACCAAGGGCAGCAAGGTGAATATCACAATTCGCCAAGTTAACGAGACCGGTGCTGGTCCGTATACTTGTGATATGGACTTTACGGGCAACACGGCTGGAGCCACGGGCCAGGTCAATGTTACAACAACCGAAAGCAAGGCCAACAAAAACGGAGAAATTACTCTCGAAGTGGCGATGCCCAACGACTTGGCATGCATCGGATGTAAGTTCATACCAAACCTAGAACGATCTCAAACGGTATGATTAACGAGTCATCCTCTTAGCATCAACTGGTGACGTTTGTACTATACGATGCCGTAATGCGAACGAATTCGGCGGGTGTGTCGCAGTGCAACAAACCGATACTACGCCAGCTAAAAACACGCCGCAGAACATCCAAGCATTCCAATCGTTGGCGGGCATCACCACTCAGATCCAGCAGAACGTAGCTGATCTTCCAGCGGCTGTCAAGGCGCTCTCGGAATCTGGGAAGTCTGACGCGGAGATCGGTACAGCTATCGTAGACGGAATCCAAGCGGCAGACCCGGCGACCGACGGACTTGCACAGGACCAAGCCAATGCCGGCAACGCCGGTAATACTGGTAATACTGGTAATACTGGTAACACTGGTAACAACAACGGCAATGCCAAGGGCAATGGTAACGGCAACAACCGGAACGGTAACGGCAATGCCAATGCCAATGCCAACGCCAACGCCAACGCCAACGCCAATGCCAACGCCAACGCCAATGCCAACGGTAATGCCAACAACCGCGGAGGAAGAGGTGGTCGCAACGGAGCCAACAACAACCAGCGACGCTCAATGATGCGCCGTCGCAGATCAGCATAGACAGGCGTGTTTTAGGCAGCAGAAGATAATGGAACCTACCTCTCTGCTCAGTTCAGTGCGTGGTTTCGGTGTATCATGGAACTTCGGATGACCAATGAATGATGTACATTGATTGAAAACAATAATCCCACTTGTGTAAATAGCAATATTCATAGACTCAAAGCTCCCGGGTGAGCTCCTTGTATTTGTTTGATCTATTTTTGACCTTCACACCAGTCGACTTTCAAGATATTGGACAATGTTCTAGGAGCACGTTTTGCTAGAGATGACAGGTTAGGTTAGGTACTCTAGGATTGAGTACTTCCGACTATGATATTCCTGTCCGGTCCATCTCATCTATCATATCACACCATTCGAGCCATACCTAAGTGTAACGGTTTTGAATCCAATGTTGGTAAGTTCTAAAGGCGTTAGCCTAAGTTCTAGGGTGTATTAACAGCATGTCAAAATATCCTAGGCGTGTCAGACAGCTCAGTATAACGAAACTTGATTGGACAGTTTCCCTGAACAAATTCGACCTCGTCAAAAGTGAGATTCATGCTAAATATTGCTACTCTCCTAAACACTCTAACTACCTGAGTTTACGTCAGAGCTCCCAGGGCGATCAAGATGCTTGAACGCTTCATAAACCCTTTCTATCCTCCCATCGAGGAGCGTCTGCCGCTACCGATCCTATATACGCCCGGGGCGTTCGTAGTACTGGTGTTCGGCTATGCAATAGGACCCGGTCCAATCCGGATAGCTGCCATCAGCTTATTACTAGTCCTCTTCGCTCTTCAGAGACCATACTATACCGTCGGTAACGCAGCACAGGACTACGGTCTTTCCGGCTGGTTCATCGTTTTCTTACTATTGTTCCTAGACTTCAGTGTTACGAACCCGCGCTGGATAGGCCGAATAGATGAATCCTCATCGAGAAAAGATAGCAAGGGTATCACGCGGCATGATCCCAAGATATGGCCACAGCGCCTCGCGTGGGCACTCCGCCTAGCCGCGACTCTACGTGGTATTGGCTGGGATTGGCAGGTCAAAAGCGTGCCGGAGCATCTGGAGCCAAATGCGCCACGCTTACAATTTGTCGGCAAGAGGGTACTGGACCTCGTCGTACATACTTTGGTGAAGTCAATAGCTCTTTACAGCATCGGGTTCTGCGAGGCAATCCAGCAGAAAGCACTATCATCATCGCCGTGGACTGGTTGGCTTCTTAGAGTTGTTGAAAACTGGTGTGGCGCAATATGGTCCTGGAATACGGTCGGTATTGGGTACGCGGCCATATCGGTAATTGCCGTCCTCCTAGGTATCTCTGAGCCCTGGGAGTGGCCACCAATGTTGAATTCGGTGGCGATGGCTACGAGTGTGAGGAAGACGTGGAGGTAGGTGGTTCGACCGAGTATGCGTAAAACGACAACGACGAATGCTAATACTAAGCCCAAATAGTGTTGCATATCATCAACTCTTGCGTAGGGTGAGTACCTAGACAATCAAAAATTGCATTATGTATACCCAGATTAGATATCTAACGTCAGTTTCCTCATAGACCGTACAGCAACCCGGTATCAGACTCGCACGACTCCTTGGTTTTAAGAAAGGCTCTATCCCTTCTCGCTATGTTCAACTTTATTTAGCATTCTATATCAGCTTTTCTATTCACTGGTGGCAGCAATATGTGATTACACGTGGGGATAAGGGAGAGTTTGCCTTCTTCATGATACAACCCGTAGTTATTACTCTTGAGGATTTTGTTCAGTGGGTTTGGAGAAATGCCATAAATCCTAAGCGAAAGCAGGATCTTCTCTGGTGTGAGCTTGCTGTTGGCTATGTGTGGACGTTTACCGCTTTCGCTTTCACCTTAACGCCTTTCGTAAAGGGGATGGTAGCAACAGGAATTATTGGGGGCAGTCCGGAGGAGGCTATGGCGATGTCACTTGGGCAGAGACACGGTGCCAAATACTTACAGCATTGATGTTAGGTCGACCATGTGTCACACCGGGTATTATTAAGCAAAACGATGAAGCCAGTCAGTATCCTTACTACTTGTTATGAGGTGGAGCAAGAAGCATAGAAACAACTCCGTTGTTCAGTGAGGAACTCTAAGCAGGTACCTGTTACACCTCCTGACATTTATGGGAACTGTTTATAGTTGAATAACACCGTATAAGTCTTAACGCTCTTAAGATAATTTGGGCGAGCCATGATGTGGCGCTATCTCAAAACTGGAATGTCCGACAAGTTAACACAATTAAACTTGAACCAGAGAACTGATTTGAGGAGTATTGAAAGTTGAATTTACCAGGAATCTTTAGTCTACTTTCGCTTCTTGTAAGTGTCCAATACACCTAGTCTACGGATGTCTATATAATTACTTGCCTTTGGTTTCTTATCTCCCGTTTAGACCTTCGCACTATATGAAGGATTCAGCATTGACTCCTTCATGTTGTCAGGTACCTATGCATACCATAAACTGCAGGTACTGGCGGATGACCTATCTTTATATGAGCGCAAAAAAATATCTTTGATGAGCGTAGCGATGTTGGGAAGACTGGATGTCGGTGGACTGGTGAATGATATAACTCAAAACAGTATCATATTGACATATATCATACCACCTTCCATGCATATTTAACAAGGATTTAGATACCCGATGACATCTAGGCCGCCTTATAGTTAAATCCTACATCCTGACTCTATTATTTTTATCTAGAACGGCTATTCCGCCTGGCTGAACGGATATGTAATAGCCTACTATGTCTGCCAAGCATTCAACGAGCCAGGGTTACGATCCTCCCCGCGAATAGAGCTTTACTAGTATACAGAGCTGGAGGTAATTCCTAAAAATATCATGATATTATTCATTGGGTATGGACGCTTTAAAAGAACTTTAGAAGCCAGCTTATGTTGTCGCCTGCGGTCCAGCCATATCTTAAGTGATGCATCTAGACACCTTCAGTAATATCTAACTGATAATTATTTTTCAGAAAACTTCAGCCAATACCAATCAAATCAACGATGTCGATTATACTACTACTGGACCCCCCAACAACTAAACGAAGGGCGTCTTTATTAGAATATTTTACGATTTTAATTCTATTCGTAACCATAATCATTCTAGTTTGGTTGGTACTTCCCGACGGACAGGTTACCATATGGATAAAGAGCAGTGAATTATGGTTGCTGTCTAAATTCAAAGGACCATATACCCTCACCGAGAGTCTATTATTATTAAGCTCGGCATTCAGCTTAGTGGTATCTATATTAATAGAAACTTTTCTTCCATTCTTTCTGAGGAATGCGTCGAAACGTGTAAGAATCTATCAAAATGGCCTATAGAAGCTACGCAGCAATGCTAATCAAAACGATAACACAGGCAAAAACTTGGTTTAGATATACATTAATGGCGATACTCTCTTTGAATGCCATCTTCGCCTTGATTGCATTTATATATGCTTCAGTAAACGCCGGGGTATTTAACGAAGAATGTACCGGGAACCTGAATGATCATACCAAGCAAAACGAAACCAACTTGTCGAAATGGGGTCACAGCAGCCGTACTAATGTCTTTTCACATTCCGACGCAATTCTGTGTGGGCGGCGAGTAACTTCTTGCTGGCTTGGCCTCTTAATTTCCCTTTTCTCTATCGTACTTATGATTTCGGCGTGGCTGGATTTCCGGGAGCAGGATCTACAAGAATCAGTGACTGCAACATCCAGTGAAGAATCACTCAGTGAGAAGGGTCTCATCGAATTTGAGTAGATGTTAGGGAAATTATCAATGCCGTATATTTTGGCTTTCGAGACATTACACATATAGCAGTTAGCAAATCGACCCCTAATAATCCAAGCTTGTGAATGTCTCCATATAATTAGATAGAATAATATATTAACTACCTCCTAGGTAGTCGAGAGCTTTATTGTAGTTATAGATATATTTACCATGAATAATAGGGGACTGGCCTGAAGAACTGGTGCCACTGCAACAGTAAATATATTGAGAAATTTCGAAAATTAGCTTTAAGATGAGGGTCATCTTTCCATCAACGGTGCTACACTTAACAAGTGATAGTGATATTTTACATCTCATTTATTTCCTTCTGTTCCCTCGGTACCAAGTGTTTCGTATGGATACACTTTATCCCCTGCTTCCGCACGCAATCTTTGAGAATAGATATGAGATTACACGATTTCTTTCAGAGCGTAATGCAGAAAATCTACCACGTGCCTGCTTGGCATCATTGCCTTATGTTTTAACGACGCGTTTCCTGTTTAAGTGCTCTTTATTAACCTTCAAGACTAACCGGCCTATTACACCATGATATGTAGATTATGAGTCTATGACGTTTGGAATATTGTGTCGAGGAAGACAGGATTACTATCGTACTGCAAAAGCTACGCACGGTCCATCTCCCGTATAATTCAAGTCTTGTCCAACTATTTTCTATTCTCATAGAAACAATTCAAGTTTAAACATGTTTAGGTACTAAATTACCTAGGTAGGTACCTAAGAAACTCAGCCTCAGCTAGGTACCTAGGTGATCGCTGCTGGAATATGCTGTGTACCAAGCCACTTCGATCTTCCTTGGAAAGATCACGTCAATGGCCATCAGATCCCCGAAATGCGGAGAACAAGCCAACAGCTAACTACAACCATATTTCTAGTTTCGAAGCTAAAGTATCATTTATTGATCAGCTAATCTGATCCTCACTTGACGACATACTTGAATTCTTTACAGAATGGTACGTAAGAAATATGTATCCTTTTGTCTCGGTAGTGTTGAAGTTGTGGCTGACAACTCGGATAGGACGGCTTATACAAGCACGATTAGTGGCCTACGTTAGCTTTTGCCTCGTCATCAACGCCGTGCCAGAAACTAGGCCATAGAATATGTCATCCTTGATTGGCTTCAGGCATGCAATTAGGCCATGCCGTCGTCTTGGCCCTGATTCTCGACATCATGACTTCATCAGGTCTTTGTGTTGGTTAACAACCCCGCCATCGTCGCCGTCAATGGTTGCGGAGAAAGCTTCTTTAAATGGAGGAGAGCACACCCGAACATCTCTCCTCTTCCAATATGTACCAGGTAGTTAACCATTAAGCAACATTCGTGACGCCGGCTTCGTATCACATCCAGTGCAACTTTTTCATCTTTCTCGCCGTCAGTTAGTTACCATGCAGTATAAGAAAGCTCTTCCCTTGGCGCTGGCCTCTCTTGCCGCCGCTCAGACACCGAGCTTGAGTGACGCTCTAGGTTCTCAAAACTCGTCTCTGTCGTCTCTGAATGGTATGACAATCTATACCCCCTAGTACTTGGATTTATGGCTCATACCAGATAGCTCTTATTGCATCTAACTCCCAATTTTTCGAGTCTCTGAATAAGTTGCAAAACGTCACCATTCTGGCCCCCAGCAACGATGCTATTAGTGCTCAGACTAGCAACAATGAAACCGCCTTTCAGCTTGACGACTCCGACTATCTGCAGGCTTTGCTGAGTTACCATATCCTGAATGGGACATACCACAACGATAGTTTTGGAAACGAATCAGTCTTCATTCCTACATTGCTGACCAACAAGACGTACACCAACGTAACTGGTGGTCAGGTTGTTGAAGCCCGGCTTCACGATAATAACGTGACCTTCTTCAGCGCTCTAAAGGAGAATGCCACTATCATCACTCCCGTAAGTACTTCGCCTGAATAGGGAGAGATAAGTCTCGACTAATGATCTCGTAGAATGTGAACTTCACTGGCGGCACAATCCACATTATAAACAGTCTCCTCGTTATCCCCCAGAATGCGACAGAAACTTTGTCCAACGCAAACCTCACTGCTGCTAAGGGTGCTGTCAGCACGGCCAATCTGACTGACTCGGTCATTGACACTCCCAACATTACCATCTTCGCCCCGAACAATGACGCCTTTAACGCTATTGGAAGCGTAATTGGAAACCTTACTTCGAACCAGTTGACTAATATCCTCGGCTACCATGTCGTCAACGGCTCCGTCAACTATAGCACAAAACTGCAAAATACGACACTTACTACCGTCAACGGACAAGACATTACCATCACCGTGGTAAACGGCACTGTATATGCCAACTCGGCAAAGATCACGGTTCCCGATATCTTGTTGGAGAACGGCGTCGTCCACGTAGTCGATCAGTATGCTTCCTCCCATAGCGCAGCCATATGAGCATATTTTGCTAACACATGAAACAGAGTCTTAAACCCGGGTAACACGTCTGCGGCCCCTGATACGACAGCTTCGTCAGCCACACCTGCGTTCACCAACGCCAGCTCCGGATCTGAAGGTGTACCTTTCACTAGTGGCGTTACAACCCCTACTACCACTTTCCCCGCCGCTACATCAGCAGGCGGTCCGGCAGAGTCGTCTAGTCCAGAAGGCGCAGCTATGCCCATGAAGACTGGTGCCGTTGGCGCTGCTGCTCTCTTCGGTGGCGCAGCCATTATCGTAAATTTGTGAGGAATATTGGTTGTGCTCAACTAAGAATTAATACGAAGGGAAGGAAATTATGAGGGGGTATACGTTCCATTAGTGTAATACATAAGGCATATCGCTTATACTAGGCAGTATCTAATACTACTAGGTTATCAAGACAGTCGCTCTGCTCGTTTTCATCAATCGTACCTTTTAGTACCTAGATTTTCATGCAATCCAGAACCAAATTCTTTCTAGGAAGTTCCTTGGCTTCACGTCCGGCCATGTACCCTCCAAACGGTCTACCTCTGCCTTGCCACTCCACAGGTCCATATCGCTTAGTTTAACCAGTTTCGTCCGTTTAATTATTTTATACCCCAAAAACAGGGAGAGAAATATCGGAATGTCAATATAAGGCGGTACGAACGTCTTTGCGCTGAACTTTCCGGGGAAGAAAGCGTCGTACCCATTGAAAATCGCGACAATGAGACAGAAAAATATGGCGAAGTAAGCTAGGAACGGTTGCCAAGGCGACTTATAAGGCAAAGAGTCTCGTGAAATCCCATTATAGCGTAAGCCATAATAGAAGCGCAAGTAGGTAATACAAATAGCCGACCAGACAATTAGCGTTGAGACAGCCGAGATATTTGAGAACCAGAAGAAGACCTCTTCTCCTTGGTTATTTACGTTCATATAGGACAGCAAACTAAGAGCTGTCGTTGCGCCGACACAGGCGTACGGGACACCCCATTTCTCGTACTTAAGAAACTTGGGCGCTTTACCGTCTAATGCGGCGGCATATAGAACTCGGGTTGATGAATAGAAGAAAGAATTGCCAGCGGACCACGCCGAAGTGAGGATAACGGCATTGATAATAGAAGGCAAGACTTTGACTCCACCGTTCTCGATAGCGATGACGAAAGGTGATGCCGCGGCGCCGGGAGCCGAGCTCTTAATGGCATCTAGGAGACGGTCATCCTGGGAAGACACGCATAGAGTGACCAAGAATATAGCGACAACATAAAAGAGGGCAATTCGCCAGAAAACTCGTCGGACTGCCTTGGGGATATTACGCCGTGGGTTCTCGGTCTCGCCGCTAGCAATCACCACCATCTCGGACCCCCCATATGAGAACGTGGCTTGTATGAATACCTTCCAGAAGGCAAGAAATTTCCCGAGTGATCCCGTCGTCAGATATTCGTTCATCGGTCCCGGGTTGTTCCAGTACCTAAACCCAATCCTCTCACCGCTAGGCGTCCCGCCCAAGGTGGTGATAAACATGAGGATGATCAACCCGACGATCGTCGTGAGCTTAATAGCGCCAAAGGCAAACTCTGCTTCGCCATATACACGCACGGGGAAGCAGTTAATAATGACCATCGCCAAGAAGAAGACGGTGATAAGCGCAGATTTGGGAATATCGTTTGGCCAGTAGTCTACAACCACAACTGACACCGTCACCTCGATCGGGCAGCCGATAGCGAGTTGGTACCAATAATTCCAACCGAGGACAAAGCCCAACGCCTCGTCGACATATCGCGAAGCGTACACAGGGACGGCGCCTGGTAAGGGGAGATAGGCTGCCATCTCGCCTAGGCTATGAACCACACAGTAGACGTTGAAAGCCGTGATTAAGTAGGCAAGAAAGGCAGACAAAGGGCCGGCAAGTGATAAGACCTGACCGCTGCCAACGAAAAGCCCCGTGCCAATGGCGCCCGATAAGGCCATGAACTGAACGTGTCGCGACTTAAGCTTGCGATCGAGGGTACCGACATTGCGCATTTCCTGTTCGGCTTTTAGGTCACCGATGACATCTTCCTGGTTATCAGCGACATTCGTCTTGATCTCGTCCTTTTGCCCTGCTTCGACGTCCGCCATTGTTACGACTTATATATACGACATGTACTTCGTAATGCGATTATATCTGCTCGGAGCTGTTATGTGTCGAAGACAAAAAGGAAATCCGCATGGGAACGTAAGTTATAATGATAACCCTCTCGATAACAAAGGAATTTACACATGTATATATATTTATATATATATATACCTACAGGTATTTAGTATTTATCTACTCCGCACGCTGCCAATGTGTTTATCGTGAGGAAGCTCGATACCGGATCAGGGAGGTGGTCGGAACCAAATGCCACGTTACCAGGATATCGTCGCACGTCAGGGAGAACTATTACATCCTGTGATAACACTGCTCGCACTGCTTCTGGTTATCTAGACGTTGGCTTAATTACCGCCGGGACGTAACCGAATCCTCCAAGGCTGGGCGCCCCCCATCTTGCATGGAACATTGCAAGAAATCCGGGGAAACTAGATGAATGCTTACGCGACGGAAATCGACGAATAAATTAGGTCCATACGCCAATAAAGCTTATAGTTCCGTGACAAGGTTACCTGGAGCAGCTGGGGAGATGTTAACTTTTCCGGCATCAGAACATTTCGAATGGGTCGCGTGGTGTAAATTCTTGTTGTACGTTTAGTTGAAAGCAGCTAGGATTCGCTTCCCTACCTAGGTACCTATGTAAAAGATAACGGATGTTTGATTCCTTGTAATAGATTATGAGGAGGTAAGGGACTGTATGTACAGGTGAGAAGCTCACTACCGATGCGTTTTCTAGGTAGAAAGTGGTTTAACGTCTCTTGGCATGTTGCCGGGATGGAATCATACTTGTCGAAAAGTTATCACAACCTGTAACTAATGGAAGATAAGAAAGGCACTCCTCAAATAATATGTTTGCCTGCTGTTTAGGTAGGTAGGTAGTTACCCCTATTCCCGTTCATAGTCTCGCCCTGCTCAAATCATCATCGTGATTCCATCCGGGCATATCTGCAAGGTCTTTCGCAGGCGCCGCACGTCTCGACTTTAGAGCATCGCCTCCTGGTCGCCATCTCCACGCATGCGCAAGGTCTTCTGCTAGATTATTTTCTACAAGTTCGACCACATGCTTACCGATAATAGGTAAGAGTTTGAAAGTGTGTCTGTAGACGTTAGTGACTATTCCTAGCGAGCTATCTGGCCACTTACCCGCTGTCTCCTGTAGCAAGAATGAAGTTCTTCCATCTTGGGTGCTCGCAGATCAGCAATGCTGCGTCCGCGGTGTCTGTACACCAGCACAGCGCTCGATTGAAGAGTTCCTTGTGCTTGAACTGCGGTAAGAACGTCGAAACGGCTCTGCGGATCGACTCCTCTGATGCGTCGGGATACGTGTCTGTAGGGTGCTTTGCGTGAGATCGGGCAACTGATATACGTTTAGGGCTTGCGGCGCCGTATGGCTGATGCTGCTTAAAGCGAGTGAAACCCGGAAACTCATCGCAGACCTTAATTATACCGTCCCTGAAGATTGTTGGCTTCCTAGTTCATTTATATCTTAATTATAGGGTTGTCACTCACTCGTTAGGTTCGAAGAAGAAACCAATATCGCCATTGTATACCACAGGAGAGTCCTTATACTCGACAGCTTCTTGAGGCGACAATTTTATCATGGCATATACCCATGCCTATCATTACTGATTAGTATTACGGCATCTCTACTCATCGAATATCGAAATACGTACTTTAGAACAACATTGATCCTCCAAATCTACCAATGCGGGACTCCAAGCTCCAGTAGCTAGAATGACCTTGTGAGCGTAGTATTTGGTTCCATCTAACGTTTCAACGCCGATGCATATCGTCTCGTCGTCTCCGAAGAGTGGTCGCTTGAAGGATCCTGAGCTATTCGGGTTACAAGTTAGTAAATTCGCAAGTCTACCTAATAAGAGGATTTGTAATATCCTTTCTCACCCCCCGAATCCGAACTTGACTCCTTGATTTCGCAGCTCCTCGCCGATCGCATTGATTGCCTTGCCGGCGGCTAACCAACCACCATCGCTACTAAATATGGCTTTCCACCCCTACGTCATCTTCGTATCAGCACATCTCGCTCACGTATAGACAGACTGGGAGATCTCACCTTGATTTGGTCTCGTTGCAGCAATGGCATCTTAGATAAAATCGCATCTTCGCTATCCAGCCACTCATTACTCTTCTCTAATCCAGCACCTGCGTCAAGTAGGTCTTGATACTGCCGTCGGAGAGAGGCTATACCTTTCTCGGTTCCTTCACAGTCAAGCTAGGTCGCGTCAGCGTCAAAGAGATGCGCGAGAGGGGTGACTTCTAAGTTACTCTGCCAGTATTATGGAAGAAGGGCTTAAACAACTCATCATTCTTCCACATATCTCTCGCCTCCAGGCTCAGCTGTAGGTCGACCTTATTCCGTAATCGGATGCCCATAATCTTGTTAAGGTCATTCCCGGCGGATTGCGCAGAAGGGATAGGATATGTGTCAAGGACGGTGATATTCGACGGTGTATACCCGCTGCGCACAAGATGTAGAGCGGTTGATGAACCGATTGTGCCGCCTCCGCCGACGACGACGATTTTCGTGTTTGCGCGAGACGTGGCCATACTCTCATACAGATAGTATGCCTTAAGTTTTACGATTTGACCTCTATCTAGTCGAGATGTCAATTATTTGAAATTAATATTGACGATTAAATAAAGAAGCATGCCGTGTAAGGTTCCTCCGTCAAAGCCAAATCGCAACCCCCGGTCTTCAGTGGCACGATATTAATCGCGACGTGGACTTACATAGTACTCTTCCCCGGGGTATACGGAATCAAGGCTCAAAGTAACGGCTCCGTTGGCCGGTGACAGGGGAAATTTACTAATAGCGTAAGGCAATGCTCGCCTATTAATTGGGACTGTGGGGAGGTTGAGCTTTTGTCAATACCCCTATCCCTATCTCTATCTACTTGCGATGTAGATTAAAACGTAGCGTTTAGATAACTTCGCTATCTTCCTTCTAATAAGATTGCTCGTCGGCTCTAGAGGCTCAGCAACACACACCTACGCCCAGCTGATAGACTCGCGGGTCGGGACTGTTACGGTTACCAGAATAGGGAAAGCGAGTAATAACGACAAAACTCCTGGCTGTCACTTATCGTTAAGTCACGTATGTTATTGGCCAATGCAGAGTCGTATGCGTCGGCATTGATTCCCTAAAACTTCAAAACGGCACAGTCTAAGGCGGGGCCAGAAAACCAAGCTCTAGGGTCTTTACATGCTCCCATAACTTCGGGACTGCTATCGTTTCCTAAATCGGTCTAATGCTGCCGAGTTGACTATGTACTTTGGCGCTCGCCGCGGTCAAGTAGAGGTGAACCGGATAAGACAGCTTGGTCTTCGAACATACTATTCACGTGGGCTCTCATGCCCAAACCATAACGTAAAGGCTTTCTCAGAGTTTCGCGGGGCCCCAAGATATCTTTACCCTAGTCTGCAGAAGGACTACCCGAGGAAAGAATCCACAGATTATCTAAACCGCCGCCATGATAAGCAGAGGAAAGCTGATGCTCGGTATCAGACTTCGCGATATGGCTGGGGTATATACATATATATCTACCTTGTATATATATCTAGTGAAAGGTCGTGAGCATGTCTACTAAGAACCTCCATTTCACTTCAGTATTCAGTATACCAGACTTGTTATACTCGTACGAATAGTAATAACAGTCGAGACAGCGTCAAGTCATGTCTAAATTCGATGCTGCACCTCCCAATACCCACGCCGGTGGGGACGATGATGCACTTCGAGGACAGGGTTCACTCCCGATGAACCCGACGAACGATGCTGACGAGAGGGTCGATATGGACGCCTACAGGAAAGCAGTTCCGTTATGGAAGCGAATCCATCAGCACAGCTTGACACAGATGCTTCTGCTCAGCGTGGTATGTACGGAAACACAAGGTAGTCTCGGCACCTGAAACTCTTAAACGCCCAAAATACGTTCCAAGTTCCCCTATTTACGGCGGCTGACATTCAGTACCTACGTAGCAAGCGTTCTGCGGTCCAGCAATGGCAGACGCCATCGCGGGTCTCGGTGGCGGTGGTCTAGCAACTCCCCAGACGTCTAACGTAGCGTACGTTCCTAATCCGAGAGAGCACCTCAGAGGTCAACTATTAACTAAGGCCTTTTAAAATAGCACGGCGATTAACTATGCAATGCTCGCTACCGTCTGTATGTTTGGCGGTCCCATCGTCAATAAGCTCGGAACAAAGTGGGCGTTGGTTATTGGCGCCATGTCATTTCCTATCCGCGGATCATCGTATTACTGCAACAGCAAGTTCGGGAATCAATGGTACCTAATTTTCGGCGGCTTCTTTACCGGCATTGGCAGCGGTTGCTGGTACGTCGCAGAGTCGGGATCCATCATGTCACTGGCACCATCCGGTGCTCGTGGTAAATACCTAGCATTGTGGATTGTCGCCAGAAACCTCGGACAGCTAGTCGGAGGTGCTATAAAGTCAGTATTTCGATTGCACCACACCGAAAAACATCGAGAAAACGCAATGCTAATGATGATGATCCTCATCTCAGCTTGTCCAAGAACCACGTGAAAGGAACAGTTGGCGGAGTTACTCCTGACACTTATATCGCTTTCTTAATCATTGAAAGTCTAGCGTAAGTAACGAGCCAACTAAAGCATAACTCATTACATTTGTGTGAACGTATATTAGGAGGTACTTATACTGATATACCTAGGCTGCCGTTCGCGTTCTTAATCTCGCCTCTCGAGAGGGTCGTGCGGTCCGACGGCACGCGCATTCTAGTCTCGGAGAAGCTCACGTTCAAGCAAGAATCTAAGCTCATCAAGTTCACTATGACCTCGAAGCTTATCCTACTTTCATCTTTATGGGCAGTCTGGTCGTTCTTCTACAGGCAAGCTACTACGTCGACGCTGGCTTGACACGAAACTAACCAACGTAGTGGTACATGGTCTACTTATCTTGGTACCTATTTTTCCGTCCGCTCTCGCGCTTTATCTTCACTCGTCTCTCCGTTCTTCTGCATGTAAGCGGGCCTTCTTTTGCTCTTGTGATCTGGGATCTATTGCTAAATAAAGCCGCAGCGTCGGATGCTTCGGTCTTGGCTTTATCCTCGACATGAAGTCTCTCAGCCAACGTCGTAGGGCGCAAGTAGGCCTATTTACCGTCGTTATCCTCAACCTAGGCGTGTACATCTGGTCTATTGTCATGCAAGCCAGATTTAACACTACAAACCCCGGTAAGATCGACTGGGATGAGTCGATCTACGCCTCATCTTTCTTACCATACTTCTTCGTCCAAACCACGGGTCCACTGTCGCAGTCGTATATGTATTGGCTCCTATCATCATTTGCGACAGATGCTCAATCCAATGTTCGTAACGGCGCAGCTTTCCGGTATGTTGGTCGAGCCGACGACGCGTCGCATATGAAGTGAATACAATGATTAACAATTTTGATAGGTGTTTAGAAGCTGTCGGCCAAGCTATTTCGTACGGCATGAATACGCAAATCGAAGCCAACCCCCTGATCGGATTGTATGTGCTGCTCTTCCCTGAGACAAATTGCTGGCATTTGTACTAACAAACATTCCTTAGCTGTGTGACCTTCGCTCTTATGGCAGCTGCTGTAGGTCCAATGCTAGTTCTAGTCAATGCTACGCCAGATCGCATTCCGGCCGACGTGATACTCGAAACACAAGAGGCGCAGAAGGAGGAAAAGCTCCAAGGGCTTAAGACCGAGGCATAGGGCGCTTAAGTACGGGGCAACTATAGAAGCTGATTATTAGCGGAATGTAACGTCTACGACTTATATAGTATAAGAAGAGAGTATAATAAGATTTATAACCGATAAAAAGTAATGTTTTGTCATTTGACTAATTGGATAAAGTCGGGGTTAATTACCTATCCCAATATACCGGGCTCTAGTCCACGACAACACACTATAAGTGATGTCTCTCAAAGGCTCTCGCTACCCTAGCCGTCGTTCAGGAGAAACTAGGATGTATACCTAGTCGAACAACTATCATGCTTGGAAGATAAAGGGGGTTATTTCTTCGGTACTCGTAGACATGTTCATAAGGGAGGTCCAAAAGGGTCACCTCCTTCTGGAACAACTTTTCGTCTTTTCGCGTCTCGCCCTTCGCCGGTTCCATTCCCAAATACCTTCTCATCTGCATCGGAGCCCACCTTTGGTTTCTGCTTCGGCACGGTCTCTTCCCTTCGCGCCTTCTGTAGGGCGACTAGATCGGCTCTATCAGGGTCTCTACATTTAATGAGCTTCCTCCGCAAAGCTTTAATGGCTTTAGTACTTTCCGGCTATCACCTAGTAGTTAGTTACGAAGAATCAGGACCATATCTAAGCTCACTTACATCCGTCCAATAGGTGGCCATCTTCTCTGGAGGTTCCTTCTCCAGCATTTCTTTGCAGTTCTGTATTACGCTCCAAACTTTAGCTTTGGCCTCTTCGCCTTCGCCCGCGAACGCCTCTCGAAGCATACGCTGCACCAATTCCTCATCAGCTATTGCCAGCGCGGCATACATAATCTGGCTGGGTGTGTAGTGGAAATATGCATCGGTAACAAGTGGACTAAATTTCAAGATGTCCCTCGTTCTCTTATGCGCGTGATTTATCCTGTCATGGTCGAAGTCGCCCAGTCTTCTGAGTTCCATAACAGCTCCTTCTAGGGCACGAAACGGATGCCTCACATCGAATGCAAAACGTATGCCCTGGCACAGAACGTATTCGGCAGCCAAAATCATCTCGCCGGTCGTATTCGGAAAGGTATCTGCGATCTTTTGTACACGTATAAAATAACCCTCGGCCTTGCAACCAAAGAATATGCAGGTCTTGATAAGCTCCTGCGGCGGGTAGGTCATTACGCTATTGGTAAGATAAAAGCGCCGTAAAAATATGGCAGCGGTCGCTTGGATATCGGTTGGGAGTTGGCAATAAGGAGCGGCGCGCAGTAGCTCGAGGGTGAAGTGATTCAAGATGGTATATTCTTCGTCGGGGGTCAGGAAGTTAGGTAAAGGGTCCACAGGCGAATCTGAGGCACGCAGACGATTAGAGATGTGAGTTCGTGCGAGGGTGTTAGTCTTCTCGCGAAGGGTAGCGAGATGTGACGGAGTAAAGGACCACAGCCGATATTGGCTTGACTGCCTGTATCGGGCGTCCTCGGTTGCCATGTTTATAGTTGTTGTTGATGTCGCGAGGTAGACTCGATTAGTTGTATTAGGTTATGTACCAAAATTGAATTAGCATGCGGGAATGCGATACTCGGTTTGCGATCTGCTGTTGTGAACTATCTGTTTGATCAGAAGCTTTTAATGTTGTGAAGACCAAATTAACAGGAGGAATTCAGAAGGAATTGTTTACCTAATGTGTACCTGTAATCCTTTGTTGATGGAATGGAATATAGGTACCTAGGTACCTAAGGTAGGTGCTAGGTATACGCAAATCTCCGATAGCTACATGTACCTCCTAGCCCTACATCGTTATCGATATCTCAAGCATCTAACTGAGGTCCTTAATTCTTTTCAAGTCCAACAACAATAAACATTAGGGGCTGCTATGTACATGATTCGGCATGAGATTGTCACCGTGACAATATCTTGGACTATTAAGAATTCCATCGAGTGTTTACTATTCATTAATAACCCCTATACGATTATGCTATTAATTTGTCTATAGCAACACAACACCTAATAGGACTGTTACCCCTAGATATATCGATATCACGCTGCCCACCCCTCCAGCACCATTCGGAGTCGTGGTTGGCACAGGCGCACCGTCCGTAGTCGTAGTATTAGTCCCCGCGTTACCACTAACAGTAGCTATCCTATCATCGAGCTGGAAGTCAATCGGGCTCGTCTTGCGGATATGGTCAACTAGCACCTCGTCTAAAGTATCAAGAATAACCACATCTTGAACCGGTTCTAACATATTGTCACCACCACCGGTTATGAAATCAACTGTGACAACCGTATACTGAGCCTCTTTATCGGCGGGCTTATCACCGATCGTAAGACGAACAAGACGTTCGCCAATAGCGTTATTCGGGTTATACTCGACTTTAACGCCACGGCTGATTTGGAAGAAGCTAGTGACGTTCCGCTGATTGAACTGGTTGACGCCGCTGACGAGACCCTCGAATATCTTCCATAGGTCCGCACCGCTGTAATCAACCTCAACCACGGCATTACCGAAAGGAAAAGACGTGAGCACCTCGCCTCGCGTGATAGGTCCAGAATCGATGGTAGCGCGGATGCCCCCTGCATTCGTGAGAGCAAAGGCTGCTTTGCTCCCACCGTCTACACGATACTGCAGCATTGAGCTGTAGAGATATCTATGTTAGCACCCCCCCGAAGAGATGAATACACACGGCTGTCTACAACTTACTCGGATACCAAGTCACCCAGGGTGCACTCCTGCTTTTGACAGGTCGATTGGTCGAGCACAACGTTCGTTGTACCAATCTCCTCCGCTGCGAACTTTTCGAATGGTTTCCTCCATTCTTCAACCTGCGCCTGCAAGTCCTCGTCTTGCTTAGTGGTGTTCGTCATATGTATCGGGGCACCGTGGTAGGCAAGTATTTTTCCCTCTGAATCGTACGTAACGTCGATGTAACCCAAGTACTCCCCCCAACGATAGGCAGTAACGATGAAGACTTCATCGCCGTCCTTGTTTGTCTCGAGGGTGGGATACTTGCCTTCTGCGCCTTCCATATCGCCAAGTAGCGTGTGACTATGACCACCCATGATGAGTTGAAGGCCGGTAGTCTCACGAGCTAGACGCTTGTCTTCTTCGTACCCGATGTGCGTGATAGCTGCGATTCGAGTGATGTTCGTCGTGCTGCGGATTTCGTCGATCGAGGCCTGAACTGCGGCGATCGCATCCGTGAACTTCGTGCCGTCGCCAGGATTGCTGATCCCGGCTGTTGTCTCAGTTGTCACACCAATAACGGCTAGTTGGTACTGCTCGAAGATATGGTATGGTTTGATGGTAGAGTTTAGCTTCTCATTGTCCGATATAATGTTTGCAGATACGATAGGGAATGTCAGGTTTTTTAAGAAGTCGCCTAACTTGTCGTCGCCGCCATCGAATTCATGATTTCCCAGGGTCATGGCGTCGAACCCGAGTTGATTGAGAGTCTCGGCGATTTTTTCGCCACCGTAGAATGAATAAAACAGTGTGCCCTGAAACTCATCCCCTACGTTCAACAACAAGCTGTCGTTATGATCCGGTCGTGTGTCGTCAATGACCGTCTTGATACGAGCATAACCGCCATAACAGCCCTTTGAAGGATTGGTGCAATCAGTCCCTGATGAAGAGAACTCATCTAGGTGCGCGTGCACATCGTTGACGTGGTAGAAGGATATGTTAAAGTTGCCGTCTGTATCAATGAAGCGCTTCGACAATCGCTTGCTATAGAGCGAGTCTTCAGCTAAAGCCAGGCCAGCTATACTGACGGCTATAGAGAGGACGGAGAAAGAAACGCGAACCATTGTCGCATGACCGAATTAATCTACTTGTTGAGCCTCTATAGTACACGAGAACGACGAGCAACGCAGCGGAATGCTCCCGGCTCTTACTCACAAGCTGGCTAATGAGTGACGACTCTTACTTACACCGGAAAGCAGGAATAGGCGTCGGGTTTAAATAAGGTACGTATGTATGTAGTCCCTTCCGAGCTTTCTTCTCAGTTCGGACCTGTGGTATCACGACGGGAAGCATTTGCGCGACGTCGCGCGACGTCGCGCGGCACAGGTACAAACATTATCTCCAAAGGAGCTTCCAATTCGATCCAGGCCATGCTAGTATCTGGGCCGCTTAACCCGATAAGCCAGGTAGATGAGATACGCAGCCTTGGCGGTGAGCTACAAGAGTTGTCCAAATGCGAATCTCATTAGCACGTGGGAAGTCAAGCCTCAAAAAAGACGTGCATGAGGATAGTATCCCACGTGGGTTAGATAATATCTTACAAATATGTGCAAGGTAATATCTTGATAATAGAGTAGAAATATCGGAAGGCCTTGGCATTGTTATCTATCACAAGTCATGAACAAGCACCAATGGCAATTAAGTGAAGCCATTCGAATTCTTGTTGTCCGGACTGTATTGAAAACCAACATCAGCGTTCTAAGCCAGGGAGATGATGACCACAATTGTTGCGTGCCTTATTACCTTGTTGAGAGACTAGATTACTAGACAGAACCCCCAGAAACCCATGCAAGTCATGCCGTATTACAGCCTCTCAAAGCTGATGCAACGGTATATATATTTGGAAGAATAAGACAACGTCGCGAAGCTGATTCCAACTGGCAAATGTCAAATCAAGAGAAGGGCACAACTATATGTTAAATAGGCGAATATCCTTTAAGCATTAGGGCGTTAAACTTATACCATTAAACAAACTAGGTAGGTATCTACATAGTTAAATTAGCACGTCTCAACTGAATAAAGTCTGCTTGCTTTACTGTTACAGAAAAAAGGGCATGACACGCTACGTCACAGACCAGACGATCGGATGAAGAGTGATGTGTGATCGACAAGTGGGGAGGATATCTGGGGTCGGAACAGTTTGGGATCAGTAGACGAAGAGCGCTTTGACAAGCGCCGGCATGAAACTTTAGCGAAGTCATTGAGACGAAAATTCTAGCTCTCCCACATGTGTATCGAGGAGCTAGACGTTATTGATCATGAGTTGACTTACTACCGGAAGTGGAGTACTGTGAAGAGGTTTACAGTTACCCAATGCTTTGACGGTTTTAGACAATCTATTGTAGTCTGAAAGAGCTTTAGAAGTTTGCTAGCGTTTCTTACTGTTGGATAT